TGTAGTAGAATTGTTATAAAATTATATAATAATTTTTTTACAATATGGATTTAATATTTTTGTATGATTTGATAATATAAACAAATCTATACTTAACTTTGACAAATAAAACATAAATACTTTAGTAAGTATTTAATGTATATACTAAATAAGAATATATTTGGTATAATCAAATACCAAATATAATCAAATAAGTCAAAGTGTACATTTTTATTTGGTATTTGATTTTTTTATTATTAAAATCTTTTTATTATACTTACCTTTTTAAAATAAAACAAATAAATAAATCAATTAAATAAATAAAATATTATAATACCAAAATAGTAATGGCATTTAATGCAGTTGACTTTTCTGGATAGTAAATGTAGTAAATAGAATCTCTTTTTATATAAGTATAGATAGTATAATACGGAAATAGTAATGCAATAAATGTTGTTGACTTTTCTTTATACTAAATCTGGTAAATGGTATACCTTTTAATATAAGTATAGATTTGGCAAACATATGAATTATTAATTCTTCTATTTGTCTCTACAATTGTTGTAAAATAGAGAGTATTTATACTTATATTAAAGGGGGTACTATTTACCAAATTAAGTAGCCAGAAAAGTCAACAGCATTTATTGCATTACTATTTCCGTATTATATTATATAAAAGGATATTCTATTTACTACATTTATTATCCAGAAAAGTCAACTGCATTAAATGTCATTACTATTTTAGTATTATAATATTTTATTTATTTAATTGATTTATTTTTTTGTTTTATTTTAAAAAGGTAAGTATAATAAAAAAATTAAATACCAAATAAAAATGTACACTTTGACTTATTTGATTATATTTGGTATTTGATTATACCAAATATATTCCTATTTAGTATATACATTAAATACTTACTAAAGTATTTATTTGTTTTATTTGTCAAAGTTAAGTATAGATTTGTTTATATTATCAAATCATAAAAAATATTAAATCCATATTGTAAAAAAAAATTCATATAATTTTATAACAATTCTACTACACTATTTAATAATATTTCTTTTTTATTATATAATAAAATAATAATTAAATATTATATGGTGAACAACAATAAGTAAAACTGTTACTTTCTCTTATATCAAGGGATAAATTTATATGCTAAAATTAAATTTTTATTAGTATAAATGTTTTAGTGAGATAATATATTAATTATTTTACAAGCTAGCCCTAACATGCTCATATTTAATGTTTTAAAAGATGTAGAAAAAAAACTTATAATAACTCTATTGTTTTTTAGACTTAAACGTTGATTAAAAGAGGTAAAAATTCCTAATTTTTTAGACTTAAACGTTGATTAACACCATAGATTGAGAGTTTATATTTAGTAAAATTCCTAATTGTAATAAAAAAATTAATTTTTGCTATATTTTAGAATATCTTTAAATTCATTATAAAAAAAAAAAAAAAAAAAAATACTACAATGAAAAAAGCAAGTTAGCTATATATCAATTTGTTGTACTCCTCAAATCACATTCACAATTTGGCTACAAGGAATCTTAATGTACAAGAGACTTTAAGACTCCACTTGAATATTATAAAATTTTTATTGAACATCGTACAATTTCTTGCATATTATAAACTTTTATTGAATATTGCATCTTATAATATAATATTCTCCAAATAAATATATCTCGCGGGTCACGTACTATATATATTCCGTACATTTTTGTTTATTCATGTATATAATTATAAGTCTGGATAAATAGCTTTAAAATTGTACATCCCGTGCATCGCACGGGCTCTGTACTAGTAACTATCTAACAAGCAATTATTTTAAAATAGAGAGAGTAATTATCTATAATTAATTATATCTGTCTAACAACACCATTATAACAAATATTCGAATTGAAAAATGATACATAGCCAACTTAGTGTACAACTAGTTGACAACACAAGTGGAAACATCCTTTTATGTAATTTTTTATTTTTATTTTTATAAATATTTTTTACTTGTGTTGTCAGCCTAATCGTACACTAGATTGACAATTTAGCATTTCTCGTTTGAATTTTGAAGTCTATTTTATGATGGAACATGAAAGTCTCAAAAACGACAAATGGTCAAAATCAATATATGTTGCATGTTATGCCATGATTCACCCTTTTTATTTTTCCCCACTCATAAAAGAAGACATCATAATCTATTATCAAACAAATAAAACATGATGATTCCATTTAATCATGCAAATCAAACCAAAATTTTTGTTTCGCACGCATCTCTAATTGGCTTTGCATTTATCCCGTGTATTTATTAATGATCCAATACAAATTTAATCTAATCCGACTCTCTAACATTTCATTTGACTTTTGGTATATGGAAAGATAGTATCATGCTTACCTCACACTTCCTACCATTTAATCATAGAGCTTGCGTTATACTCAAAGAGACAATGACTAATAGTTTTATAATAATGCATAAAACACGTAGGAAATGTTATTTAGAAAATGTTAGACCCAGATGATTTCATCCTATCATGTAGGTAGAGCCTTACATAAATTTTATTAGTCAGATCTAAATAAAATACCCATAAGACCACTTCCATTAAAAATATAGCTAATTGATGAAAATCATTAAACAGGTGATGACTAGGGTGTGCATGAGGAAAAAATTAATTTCAATCAGTATAAAAATTCCGAAAAAGAAAATGGTGGAATCTTCGTGAGTTTTCGGGATTCGGTAGAGGAACCTGATTTGCAAATAATTTAATTAATTGATGAGGAAAGTTAATTAGTCTATATAACAAGCAGACAAAAAAGGAGGACACATAATTAAGAGCAATTGTATTTTATTTATAATAGTATGCTGAAATAATATACTAGAAATTACCAATTAAATTAAATAAAGGCAGTGTAGGCCTCTAGCAGAGCAGAAATCCATCAAAAGTTACCATTATCTAGAGAAAAGTCACAAACATTAATCTATGATTATATTTACATGTGGCGTTATTTATTCTTTTAATAACAATCTTCAGTCCCAAGTTCAATTCTCTAGAAAAAAGAGCCAACAATTGAGTCTTGAGAGTTGAAATTGAACTATCAAAATTAGACAAATTGCCTGAACAAAAAAGTATTTTGCATTTATTAAGAAGTAGAAAATACTCCCTCCATTTTGAAATATAAAGTATTTAAGATTATTGTACAAAAATTAAGAACACATTAATTAATGAATAAATTGATTAAATTAACCTTATTTACTCTAATCACAATTACTCCACACTTTCTTAATTTCAACACAATGAGGGTATATTTGAAAAAAAATACAAAAATTTGTCTTGATTTTTGAGCGCGCCTTATATTTCAAAAAAATTAAGAAATCTTTATACGCCTTATATTTCAAAATGGAGGGAGTAGTTAATTTAGGGGACATGAGCTATACTTCCGGCACAACGTAATCACGATTCGCAAGTTAAAATAATCTCAAAATATGAAGTTTAAGAGTTTTACTATATAAAGACA